CGCGCACGCGCGCGCGCGTGTGTGTGTGTGTGTGTGTGTGTGTGTGTGAAAGACCGTAATTTCTACGCGTGGGGCATTGTCCGTCAATCTTCATTATAACAAGTTTTCCAAATCAATGTCCAAGATAATGAGGATGCGGCCGTGCGCAATGAAGGACGACGGCCGACTGCGAACTGCATCCTCAGTCCGACGCACTTTGCGCCTCATCTATAATGTGTCGTCTGGTCCGTGACATGACTGATTTATCTTCAAAGATTCACTGTGCATTTATCTTCTTTTTGTTATGCGAGACGAACACGTACTCTCTCGTCTCGCACATTTGCAACACGAGTACGCGGGAGGTTTCTACAGGTAATCGAACAAATCGCATGATTATTGATAGATTAAATGAATAGTGAAAAAATACAGAAAACGCAACTGATTTTATCATAATTATATGCTTAATGATTACAAAATTAAAAAATGACAACGTAAAATGACATTTGTATGAATGCATGCTACTTTTGTCTGAAGTAACTTGTCTTCAAAAATTCTAAAAAAGAAATGAAAGATAGATCTTCACGCGTAAGAAAGGACTGAACAGTTTTCGAAGCTATTATATATTTTTTTTTCGTGACAACCTTTCTTGCGTGTCTTCAATGCGATTTAAGACATGAGACTGCGAGATGAAAAATCCCGTATGAACGCAGATACGGAATTTTCCTCGACATCCGCGGAGTCATTGTCGATCTTCGAGGAGATGGAGAACCGATTGTCGAATCTCGAACGTAGGATGCGGGCAGTCGAACATCCCGGTAAGAATCTCATGATTTGGGAAAAAATACACGAACACGCGAAAGCGAAACTTATCGCCTCGCAGTTTGGCAGATAAGTTTGAGAGAGGAAGATTGGGAAGTCTGTGTCGAGGGGCCGTGTAAATGCATACCGGAAATGAAATCCGTATCCTGCTGGAGATATAATCTGCTAGATCTACCCCCAACACAATTGGTTCCCGCTGACGTGCTGAGACTGTACGTAATTCAAAAGATAACATCGTCATGTGACGGATATTCAACGATGAATATCCTTTTCAGAAAAATAATCTGAAATGTTAAATTCAAAGGAGCAATATTGTTTGTTTTGTATATAATTCATAAATAAAATTTCAATTCTATATAATTTATAATTAAAATTTCTTATTTTATGTTGGACAAAACAAATATTCTTTTTTTATTTACAACTTTTTGCGTACAAATATTTTTACAGGAATTTTTACTTTCTCCATGGGTGAGATAGATATCTATATCTAATCTCAATACAATCGGAATTATCATTTGTTTGATGTGATCCTTTTCAGAGATCTCGGAAGTAATCGGCTCAGCGCTCTGCACAGAGACACGTTTAGAAATATGACGCGATTACATCATCTGTAAGTGATGTAACGATCGAGAAATGCGTATATTCTAATGAAACTATAAATTACAGAGATCTGAGTAGCAATTTGGTTGAGCATTTGGCGCCGAGGTTGTTCCTATCCTTGCACAGTATCGCAAATGTTAGATTGAGTAATAATCTTTTGAAGGAGATGCAACGCAATCAATTTTTTGGGCTGAGAAATCTTCGAATACTGTATGTGAAATATTTACAACTATTAATAGTAGTAATAAAGAAAGTGGAAGCCGATGTCAAGCAAATCGATAGCTTTGTTGATATTTAAAATTGTTTATAAAAACAAATTGTTTTATCAGTTGTTTTGAAAAAAATGTAAAGAAGTATTTAAACATTTAATATATTATATTATATGTCTATATATTAAAATGCATTATACATATTTAATTCGTTATACTAAGAAAAAAGATTTATATCAAAAAGATACTAATAAAATATAGTATTGACTATAATTTGAAATTCAATATTTTTTGCTTTTTTGTAAAAAATATATTAAAAGTTAAAATTTTTATTTTATTTAGCGACTTATCGTCAAATAGACTTCGTACTTTGTCGGAAGATCTTTTCTTGAGTAACAATCAGTTGGCTTTATTGGATCTTTCTTCCAATCGCATCTCGTCATTACCTCCCGGTGCATTTCGTGGTCTTGGAAATCTTGACGAATTGTTGTTGAGTAAAAACCGTCTAGTCGGATTGCCGGTTTCGATTTTCCGAGAAACTATTAATCTCAGACGCCTCGCACTTGAAGAAAATCGTCTGAAAGAGCTACCTAAGAATATATTCGAATATCTGACATCTCTCAAAGAATTGAATATGCGGAACAATCGATTAATGGAAGTGCCTAACGGATTATTATCAACTTTGGCACAGCTGGAAATTCTAGAAATATCAAGCAATAAAATATCTCGTGTAAATATCGTGTACATTTGTTTATATATCTTAATTTTAATTTTTTACAAATTATAATTCTGCATAATATAACTAACTGCAACACACTATAAAATATAAATATTTTCTCAAAAAAAGATTTATGATATATTATTATAAAATATATTAAATTTCTAAAAAATTATTTTTTTTTAAGTATTGAATACTTGAATATTTGTGATAGATTGATTCAACAGCCTTTCACGGTATGCCAGCGCTTCGAGAACTTCGACTGGGACATAATCATATAAAATACTTGCCACCTGGATTATTCAACAATTCCATATCTTTGGAACGTCTTATTCTTTACGGCAATCGCATAGAAATTCTAGTAAGAGGAGTTTTTCGTGGCTTGTTCAATCTCACCTCTCTTTTTCTACAATCTAATCGACTAAAGATACTGCAATCAGGAATTTTTGAGGACACTCCGAATTTGCGAAAGCTGTGAGTCGATATTTATAATTTTGTGCAAACACATAACATTACCGATTTTAAAATTAATATGTTGTTTATTTTTTAAATTTTCTTATATATTTCTTTATTATTACTATCATAACAAATGTTTTTATTAAAAAAAATATATATACATATAAAATTGCAATTTATATAATATCCTCTTTACAAGTCTTTATGGCAAATTACAAATTGAAAATATATTTTGTTTGTATTATAAATTAAAAAAATAATATGTCTTCTCGCATCATATCGTGTATGTTGTATCATACTTTTTAGACAACTGCAGTCAAATGATCTCTCGTTCTTGCCAGCTGGTAGCATGGACGCCATTTCTACAATTCAACAAGTACGATTAAGCCAGAATCCCTGGCATTGCGATTGCCGTGCCTCTTACATTGCTTCGTGGTTGCGAAAAAGATTTGCCAGCTTCGCGAATCTAACCAATCCCTTGCAGATACAACGGGTTTTAATCATGACAGGCAATTGGAGTATCTGGGAATTTGGGGCTGGTGCAATATGCAGGGGCCCAGGTATATTGGGTGGTCAGTCGCTGCTGCGTTTGACCTTTCATGAACTCTGCGAGGGTCAGTGGGCCTCCATGAAGGGTATCATACCACGATTACCTCTCGATGTTATAGCGCCATCTCTTAAATCGCAAGTCGCGAAGAAAGACACAATTATGGTGTGTATGTATGTAAACCCGATTAAATAAAATATATTTCCAATTGTTTGTCATAATTTCATAAAGTAATAGAAAGAAATTTATATATACATATGTAAATTATTAATTAAATTTGATTTAGTATAGAATTATAGCAATAACAATAATTTCTGCTTTCCTTCTAATTATTTTCTTTTATGTTCGTTTATGTTGTTACAGGTATAAAAAAATGCAAAACTCAAAATTTTTAATTTTTGGAGAATGGAATAATTTCGATGGAACGCATGAAACATTTGATGATAACTAATATGCATTTAAAAATTTCTTTTTATGAAAACATGTTTCGATCATGTTTTATTTTCTTTCTGTTATTATAAGAAATGTGTTCAAATTTCTTTAACTATACTATATTTATGTGATAATCCAACATAATATTTTATAATTATAACATAAAATAGAATATAAAATATAAGATTTTTGAATAAAAATACATTTTTTTATTACATTTGATTGTTATCATCTATTTTCAACGTCAATTTTTCGTATTGTTAAACATTGATTTGTAATTATCAAATAAAATTGTAGCGCAATAAATTATGTTTATTAAAAATGACAATTTAATGTTATTATACTATCGCACAATAATAATCAGAAAGAAAAAAATCCAAGGACAAATTTATCGATTAGTCGTTCGTTTTATTTCAGTGACTCTTCTTTGTGGCTAATAATATTGTCCAGAAAAATTCCTGAAAATCCTCAAAGAAGAATAAGTATATTTGCCCAATCAATCCAATAATTATCCTGTCATTAAATTTCTTTATTAAATCTAAGATGAACAGTAATTTAATACTATAGTTTGATTTGGTTTTGTTTTTCATTTATTCATCGATTTTTCTTTGTGCTTCATCCTTACATCATTACACTTATATTAATGTTATATCATGTACTTATTACATGTACATTATATTTTTGTTTTATCTTATCTTTTGTTTTATCTTATCTTTTGTTTTATCTTATCTTTGTTTTATCTTATCTTTTGTTTTATCTGATCTTTGTTTTATCTTTGCGTTACATTGTATTTTTTATTTTGGTCTTGGTTTATAATTAAGTTAATGGCTTTTGATTAACAAAAGTACTGAACTGTGAACACTAATCTGTAAGAATAATTTCAAATTTTTTAAACAATTAAAAAGACTGACAATATATTTACCACGTTTGCGGAATGCAATTCCTTGTTTTTTTCTTTGAAAGAAACTCGATCAAGCAGTTCCGTTATCATTTCATAAACTGCGGATAATATTGCTTTAATTGACACTCAAGAAGATGACCTCACAATCTTAATTAATGCGTATTAAAATTATCTAAAAAAGTATCTTTTTTAATCTTGTAAAAAATTGGATTGCTCTTTTTACAATTATTTTAGCTATAACGTAGAAAATTTCTTTCAAATAAAATATCACGTTTAAATAAAACATAAATTTAATATAATAATAATAAAATATAAATATATATTAAATAATAATTCTCGATCGTTTTCCTAGGTATGATTACAAAGAAACACATATTTGTTAAAAATTTGTTTCACAACTTTTTATAATCTTAGCAAACAAAGCATGGAATTTAATTAATAGGATAAGCTTATAAATGGAAATTGTGAATGATAAAAAAAAATTTAATATCCGCATGTACAATACGTTTAATCTCGCATGTTGAACTGTTCGAAATATCTAGAATATATCTAGAATAAGACGTCAGTGATTCTTCTTTTGCATTTTTATGCGATTTGCAGCAGGCAAAGTGCAAACGTGCTTAACTCAAGCGTGACGGATGCGCAGAGATGCGTAATTGGCACGCGTGAACTCTGCAACCAGAACGATGGCATCGCCAAGATTTCACGTACGTACGACATGTTTTCAACGACTGATTCGTTGACAAAGACCGATTCGCTAGTGGTAAGTCGAAATGGAAGGGGCCCAACAAGCGAGTCGATGGATGGGTCGGTCAGTGTACTCTTCGCGATGGCTGCATCAAGTACCAACGGTATACCAACATCAAGTGTCGTCGAGCTGTTGGAGAAGTTCCTGAAGATTCTCAAAGAGGAGCGTGTGTTTGACCAATCCAATGATCAGCCTGTTGTACGATTCTGTTATCCCTCATCTTTAATGGTGAATAATCATTTAATCTTTTCGTGCCTTTTGTGTCGTGCAAAAATAAAAAAAAAGAAAGACATATTAACTCGTTACTACTCGAACTATCTTTTCTCTTTAATTATTTTGCATATTAATTTGCTCGTTTGCTGCAATATTATATTTCTTATATTACACGCGTCTTTTGTGTCGCATTTTTATTTTTATTACCCTTTTTCTGCTAATAAAATAAGGATAATATATTATCGATAAGAAGCATGTGAAAGAGATCGCTTATAATTCGCTTAATTTATTCATTTTGATTAGATGATTAGGTAAAGAATTATGTAAGAAGTTATTTGTAAGAGAGATTGGGGAGAGAGATTCCGAATAAATAATAAAAAGAAAATAATTGGATCAAGATCATTCGAATCGATAGGAATAGGAATTTTGAAAAGAAACATCCCTTATTCGTGTTTCCCACACTAGTTTCTCTCTATTTTACACAGCGAAATACAGGTCAACATCGATCGTAGTCAATTTTAGATCTCAATTAGACCGCAATCATTATTTATTACTCGCTTAAAATTCACGTCTAGAAATCTCACAGATAATCAAATCGACTACATATTAAAATTGATATTAAGCAATAAATAAATAGTATTAAATTAATAGTTAAATATTTATACGTGTTTAATTGATTAAATGATTGATTTTATTAATATTGAGTAATATGTCAAAAATTTAACAAACTCAATAATGTTTCTATTAACGATAACATTGAAATTGTCGCATTTCAGTTAGAAAAAAAAATTGGTTGCTCATTTCGTAATTGATAAAATTTTGAATATTTTTCTCTTAAACATATCTCTTTTAAACATTAGCTCTCTTTTAAGTTACATTCTTTTTTCGATCTAAAATGACATGTTATTTTTTTGAAAGATTTACTTATCGAAAGATTAATTTTCCCAAAGCAAAATAAAAAATACCAACTTGACTTTGATCAGACACATAATAAAATCGTTAATAATTTTGGGACCAGCCACGAGAATTTTTATACACACATTTTCTCTTCATATGTCCCTCCCCAAAACAATATTAAAAAATAATATTTACAAAAACGCAAGTAGCATGTCCATAAAATCTATTGAAATATCATGGTGTTTGAAATATTATACGTCTATTCCATTTTTGTCGTACATTTTTGTTTACGTCTAACTTGAATGATTTAATCTTCAATGTAGCGCACGTAGATGATACTAGATTCTGGTGGGAGAAAATATTCCACGGTACGTAAGAGTGGAAGACTTGGTCGTGGAATATTTACTAATATGATATGCAGAAGTTTGTGATATAGGTATGAGGTCAATGATTGCAGGCATCGACGCGTAATCGCGTTATTCACCAAACGAATTGTCACTTTTTTAAAGAACTTTGACATAGGATAACGTATCATTTTTTCAGGAAGTTCCTTTATAGATCGAAGTAATATGAAATATAGAATATTTCGATATCCAAATTAACGAGTTCGACCCTTTGATTACTGAAATTCGAATAATTTAAATAAAATATTATACATAGAATTGTGTCCCGAAAGGTGAAATATAATTTAAAGTTCATTTAAAGTGAGCTAATATTTTGAAGAAATAATAATTATTTTTTATATAATATTTATAAATGTATAATTATTTTTTATATAATATTTATAATTTCCTTTTGTAGAAACAGATATCAATCTCTTTGGAAGATGAGCCAGCAAATCATGAAGAGATCGAAACAGCGATACGACAGACTATACATTATTCCGTGAAAACGTCCAGTCCGCATTTTCACAATCAACTTTACGCTGGAATTGACGAATTTGGATTAATTGGTTCCTGGTTGACGGACGTATTAAACACTAGCCAGTAAGAAAAATTTTTTCCAAATTTTAAAAAGATTAAGAATATATTGAATAATGTGTATTAAATAAATGTGTATTTCATGCTATTGTCTGCTTCTCTCAACGAAACGTGATGAGTAAGCTGCTATTTTATTATCGTCTCGCGAGTAGCAGATAACGTTACTAACCCAGTTCGCATCTCAGACGACCTCAGACAACAATCTTAATTAATGATGTATAATGATGTATTGAAGTTCTTATCGTTTCACCGGGAAAGTTTGATTCCGTTAGAAAAATAAAGAATTAGATAACTTTTCTTAATGATAATGACTTCGAGAAAACGCCCTTCGCAGTTGTAAATAATGTTGCGCATGTTTACACATAACATTAGTGAAATGAAGTGAAATACAAGGAATTGCCAATTACTAATTGCGACTGTGATCGCTCTTGTTAGGTATACTTACGAAGTCGCGCCCGTATTTACCTTGATGGAGCGAGAAGTGATGCAGAAGTCGCTGGAGCTGTTTGGCTATCCGTCGATGCCAAATGCTGACGGTATAATGTGTCCAGGAGGTAGCATATCGAATATGTACGGGATGGTGTTGGCCAGACATAAGAAGATACCGCAAGTGAAAAAATCGGGGCTCTGTTCCCTAAACCTACCCCTAGCGTGTTTTACCAGCGAAGACAGTCATTACTCAATTCTAAAAGCTGCCAATTGGTTGGGCATTGGCACTGACCATGTGTACAAGGTATGAAAACATAAAATATAAACATAAAATATAATTTCAAGTCTATTTTACCGAACAATAAAGCTCAATCAACCAGCTGTAGTTGAATAGTTGTGCTAAGATAGTATAATCAATTAATTTTTATCAATGTAGTGAAAAATTGATAAAACTAATCTGAATATGCAGATTAGATTTTTATATAAATTTATTTATTTGAATAATATAAATAGGAATTTAATAACAGTTATATTTTATTTATGTATTTTATATTTTATATATGTTATAAAAATGATAATTAAATTTATTAATTATTACTGCAATTCTTTTGAAAAAAACCAAATCAAAACACAAAAAAGTTGTAATTGCCTAACGTGTTTAATTATAGTAATAATTATTGTTGAAGTTTTCATAAACAACAGATGTTATGTGCCACGTGTCTAACTTTACATTATTTAATTAATGATAATGCGGAATATATTGCATATCATTGATTAAATAATGCAACGTTAAATTTCAAACGATTGAAAGAAGTTATCTTATCTTCGGTTGCTATAAATATTTTAGCCATAACATCCTGTTATCGCATAGTAATACTGAAAAAATTTTTTTCAATCTTGACCTTGAAAACGTTTAAATTAAGCCTAACCGGATCTTTAAGTTTAGTGATCGCCAGTCATTAGTGTTACACAAGAGTAATTCTTTCACTACAGGTGAAAACGGACGAGTTTGGTCGCATGAAAGTGGATGATCTGAAGAGACTCTTAATAAAGGCGAGGAACGACGGGACCCTGCCATTCTTCGTAAATGCTACCGCCGGAACTACGGTGCTCGGTGCTATCGATCCATTACCGGAAATTGCCGCGATATGTCGGAACGAGTCACTTTGGCTGCACGTAGACGTTCGTATAAGTATGAAAGTTTAACTCGGGAAACCGACGTAATCTGAATAGAGATCCGTTGCAGGCTTGTCTGGGTGGTACCTTGTTATTATCGGATAAGTACCGGCCGAGGCTGCGAGGCATCGAATTGTTCGTAATTATTTCCGTAGCGATACGTCGCGGAAGGAAGGCGGCAACTCCCATAAAAAAATCGCTCAAAGTCGATCGATCCGCGAATTACATCGTTATCTTGCTCGGTTGTTGATTTATTTCAGAGAGAACAAAAACTCGATGAACGCGGAGATATGTCCGCGAGAAAGAGCGAGGAGATAAATACTTTCCTTCCTGCAGGAATATTAAAAATTTGGCACTTTTTTTTTTTTTTGGTATAAATTGACATAATTTTATTTTTGTTTTATGGTTGGTTCAGATCAGATTCAGTGTCTTGGAATCCGCACAAAATGCTTGGAGCGCCGTTTCAATGTTCCTTGTTCCTGGTTAAAGGTAAGAATATCCTACACGAGGTGAATAGCGCCAAAGCGGGATATCTTTTCCAACAGGACAAATTCTATGATGTTAGCTGGGACACAGGTGATAAAAGCGTGCAATGCGGCAGGAAGGTAACTTACAAATTCACAATTTTTACAGGATGTGATATCGCGTCTTACTTATAGCAACTCATCATATCAAATCATATAAAAATTTAAGATTCGTCTAGAAAGAAATGTATAAAAAAATATGCGTAAAGGATCAGAATATTGTTCAAACGTTTTTAGGACGTTCTGATTAATTTTTCGTTTTAACGTCTGATAATACGCCTCAAGGTGGACGCAATGAAATTTTGGTTAATGTGGAAAGCCCGCGGTAAGATCGGCCTTGCACGATCGGTGGAACGAGCGATGTTCTGCGCGGAATACTTTTTGAAGCGAATTAAAGAGACTGCCGGTTTTCGATTGGTGCAGCCTCGCTATCACTGTTGCAATATTTGCTTTTGGTAAGTAATTCAGAATTATCGTGGAATCCACGATTGTAATCCACGGTGGCGACTCTTTTCAGGTATGTGCCACCGACAATGCGTAATCAGAAAGAAACTCCAGCTTGGTGGGAGAAACTGTATCAGGTCACAATTGAGATAAAGAAACGCATGAATATGAACGGATCTCTGATGATTGGTTATACACCCTTACCTCAGAAAGAACTTGGCAATTTCTTTCGCATGGTCGTGAACTGCCAACCACCTCCCACAAAATCGTCCATGGATTACGTTGTCAGGCAGATTGAAAAATATGCGGCTGATTTGTAGAAAAAGAATCCATTTTAGTTCCCTTCGTTTCACAAACTAAATGTATGATGTTGACGGTAAAAAGTGACATGTGAAACACTTAGTCGAAACACGAAGTCATTAAAAAAATTTTTATCTTTATTGCGAACAAATGCATCGAGTATAGTATTATTCGCGTATACATGTGACCTTGATAATGATAATTTGTCTGATGCCGACAACATCAAACGTTGTTACATAATTTCATGATCATATATTATCTCATATATCATTATCTCATATTTTTCTTATGACGGATTACATAAATTCGCAAGAGACATCATCAGTTATCATAATCAAACTGTTGAATTATCATAATCAAACTGTTGAATAAAAATAAAATGTTCTGGAAGACAACATCGATCTTTCAATGTTCCAAATAAGAATTTTGATTTTCCTTGAATATAACAAAGAAGATGAATCATTTTAATTTGGTCGCATGCATAAACGTGATGCGCGGCGCGACTCAATGTGAGCCAATATAAACGCAATCGTCGCGCGACATGTATACGTCATGTATATTGATCATTACACAT